CCCCTCCCCTCCCCTCCCCTCCCCTCCCCTCCCCTCCCCTCCCCTCGCCCGCCCTCACCTCATGGGTCATATACAGATCTTCGTCGAGCGGAAAACACACCGCGAAGACTGGACGGGTGAGAAGTCTGTGAAGGCGCGCTTCCCGATCAAGGAGCACCTCGTGAACGCCTTCCTCCGCGGAGAGCACACGATGGACGCCGAGTTCCAGGAGCTCGTCGCGCGCGGGAAGAAGTCGCAGCAGGAGGTCGACGGCATGATCCAGCTCGCAAACGAGGTCCAGTACAGCATCATCACCAAGAAGCTCGTACCTGGTGCGTGCATACGGGCCATGTGCGTTGTGTTAGTGCTGATAGGGACGTACAGTGATGCGCACCTTCTACAACCGGACGGCGTTCCAGCTCCCGGGCGACGCGCGTGTGCGTATATCGCTGGACACGGAGCTGACGATGAGCCGCGAGGACAACTGGGACGGGCGGACGCGTGCGGGCGATAACTGGCGGCGCATGGACATCGGCATCGACTGGCCGTTTGAGCAGCTTCCGCCAGAGGACAAGGAGCTTTTCAAGTGCGTTTCGCATTCTCGTCCGGCTGCTTGGGCGTGTAGCTGACGTGAGCGGGGGTAGGTACGGCGTTTTGGAAGTGAAGTTGCAGACCCAGTTCGGACAGGAGCCGCCGCAGTGGGTGACCGAGCTCGTCTCGTCCCACCTCGTGGAGGCCGTGCCGAAGGTACGTGCAGACCCGCGAGATTTCTCCGTCGCCGGTGCCAACCTTGCATATGTTCCCAGTTCAGCAAGTTCATTCACGGGTGTGCAACGCTGCTCCCGAACCGCGTGGACCTCGTGCCGTTCTGGCTCCCCCAGAGTACGTACGTGTGCTGTGCACATGAAAGTATCTACTAACGTGTACGCCGCAGTGGAGGTCGACATCTTGAAACCCGACACGGGCGCGCTGATCATTGAGCGCCCGCTGCAGTCTTCGTCGAAGGGCACGTCTTCGCGTACGGGCACCTCGGGCCAGACGACGCCGGAGCACACGCATTATGCGGAACCGGTGTCGGAGGGCGAGGATGACGAGGAAATGGACATGGCCCCAGGTACGGTTTTTGCGCTCTCAAGGCAGGATATTTACTCACGACCGAACAGCGAGAGACGAGGGGAAGCGGACTGGGCTCTCCGGGCAAGAGGTCGCCGCAGCGGTCGCGATCCGGGAGAAGAACCTGAAGGAGCGCGCCACGCAGCCCGCGACGGCTGCGAGCCCCGAGGCGGGCGCAGATGCAGACGTCGAGTCCGACGGCGAGGGCGCGGACGAACGCTCGCCATTCCTGAAGAAGGCGCGGCAGCAGGGCGAGGGCAACCTCGTCTCGGCTGCGCTGTCCGGCACCGCGCAGGTGCGCGCGATGTCGATTGACCCGCTCGCGACGAGCTCAGCGTTCGACGAGACCCTGCGGGATCGTCTCCGAGAGGAGGGCGTACAACGGCGCGGGCGCGAGGACTCCGCCGTGGGCGACGACGATGACGACGATGACGAAGATGAGGGCCCGCAGGAGAACGGGGACAGGGAGCGGGAGCGGGCGGAGGCGGCGCGGAACGGTAGCGATCGCATACTGGACCGCAGCTGGCGCGCTCCCGCAGGCAAGCGGATAGCCATCCCGGTGCGCATCGAGCCGAAGGTGTACTTTGCCGCCGAGCGTACGTTCTTCGTGAGTGTCTTCCCTCCCCTTTCTCGCGCGCAAGCCCATGCTCATACCGCGCCCGACAGCGCTGGCTGCACTTCGGCATCTACATCGGCACGATCGCGACGACGCTGCTCAACTTCATCCCGCCGGACGACAGGGCGGGGCTGATCAGCGCGTGGGCGTTCACGTTCGTCGCGCTGATATCCATTGTATATGCGGCGGTCGTGTTCGTGTACCGCGCACTGCACCTGCGCCAGCGCCGGGCGGAGGGCATGTACTACGACCGGTACGGGCCGACGGTGCTCTCGGTGCTGCTCGTCGGCGCGCTTGCGACGAATATCGCGCTGCGCGTGCGGGAGATGTAGCGAGGTCGGGGCGAAGGTGGATTGGGTGCGACGGGGTGATATCTAGTAGCTCATGGACCTTTCTTGCTTTTCTGTTCCTACATACATACTTCTAAGCCACGGGCTGTACCCGCACATGTTATCATACCATGCTCCCAAACGACGATCTGTTGCAGTTGGACAACTCTTTGACTCCATGCTGCAATTTTTGCGTCGGCACGCTGCATGCACTCATGTCTGCTCCGCTTGTGTTCCTCCTCCAAGCATACTTGCGAGAAGGCGTGCCTGGCCTCCAAAGCTCGCTCGCGCGACGAGAAAACGTCCTGTATTACACCGGTCTTCTTTGTTCTAGACATTTACACGAGCACGTTTGCGGCGGTCCGTAGGATCTGGATGTACACGAGCGAGCGAGAGAGGGAGAGAAAGGTATCATCTTTGCGCGATGCGATGCGATCGGATCGTCTGGAGGGTGCTACAGCGGGGAGAGTAAGTACGGCGGCACGTATGTACGGTATGTACTGGGGGCGGGGGCGGAGACGGGGACACTGCTTAGCGGGTGCGTGTGCGGATGCGTATGGAGGGGCGTGGTGATCACTAATAGAAACGGTGTCAGCACTAGTAGACTTGGATGGGAGGGACGAAGGAGACGCACCAGGAAGTAGTCGGGCACGCGCCGCGTGACGAGCGGCTCGCCCGCGCGAGGAGCAGGGTCGAATTGTAGGCTATGACACGAACGTGGTCAATCCACAGGCACGCATGGGTAACGTCAGGTACGCACAAGCTATACGATAATTTTTCGTCAATCTCCATGATCGCTGCTTGGTTGCCGCAGCGGTAGCAGTAGTTGGGCGCAGAGAAGATCGTCACGACATTCCTGTCCTGGCCCCAGTTGTACCCTATCGTATGATCGTCGGTCAAGAACCGTAGCACGACCGCTGCTAATTTGGGACGTACCCTCCATGACCAGCTGGTGCGCCCGCGCGACGAGGGTGAGGCCGTTGTTGTGGTTGAACGCCTCGCTGATGTCCTGCCCGAACGTGTACCCCGCTCCACGAGGCGATATCCCCCAGCCGCACCGGTCGTCGGGGTCGGACCAAAGCAAGTCGCACATGGGACCCTCGTGGGGTACTTCCTGCACGCGGTCGATGCTCCGGACATGGTCGAGGGTATCAATAGAAGGTGAGAGGCCTCCGTGAAGGCAGAATATCTGCAAGCGATCATCAGTACATGTATGCGGATGAAAAGTGGCGGACGGGTTAGGTAGGCGCCGAGGTCCTAGGAATCAAAATCACGCCAGGGACAACCATCGGGTACCCATCGACGCCACGGACATGTAAGATTTCCCCCCAAAGGGTGTGAGTGATCATGCCCCTGAGGAGAAGTATCGCAGATGTTCGACGACGGGAATTCCTGGATTAGCATCCTGGTACTGCAGCACACAATTGCCCTGCATTTAGACCCATGCAGCCGCCTACGGCAGATCCAATCCGGCTGATGGTACTGCGAAGCTTTGTTGGCTAACTCGGAGCGTGCGTCGCGTGCCATAGCCAATGTGTCCCGCCTCGACCGAGCGCGTCCAGAAACGATGTAGAAAGACCGAACACTCACTTGGTTTTCAATGAGGGCGGTGAGGGGGAGGTAATCAAAGAGGTCGGTGAAGTATCTCCATACGTTCGCGTTTCCGTACTTGCGGAGGCACTCGTCGTAGAAGCCGTACACCTGCGTAATCTGTCGCGATTCGTGGTTGCCCCGAAGAATGGTGACGCGGTCACGGTAGCGGAGCTTGAGCGCGACCAGTAGGGTTACAGTCTCGACGGAGTAGTATCCTCGGTCGACATAGTCGCCCATGAAGAGGTAGTTCGTGTCGGGCGAGTTCCCCCCGATGCGGAAGAGTTCTGAGAGATCATGCTAGATGGGCGGAGGATGTCCGACAAGGAGGAAGTTGAACGAAGCAACATGTTCAGATGGGGAACGAGGTTACGTATAGAAGCGAGAGGAACGTACGAATTGACCGTGAATATCCCCGCAGACGGTCACCGGACATCTAACAGGCTGCACATTGGACTCCTCCATCAGGATCTCCCGCGTCTGTGTAGCACACGGCGCAAAGTAGGGTGAGTACGGTCGCATATACCGACGCTGCCCACCGGCGCAGAGCCCGCCTACCGCACCGGTGGCTCTTCGCCTTATCGAACATCAGGAGCGAAGCGCACCTTGTCGCATAGTTTCTTGACATCGGCCTCGGAGAGTTGTTTGCACTGGCTAAGCTGCGCAACCCAGCCGTCGACTTCGTGTTCCATGGTGTTTTGCGGGCGTTGGTGGGGGTCGAAACGAGAAAGGTGTGATGGCGGTAGTGGATGATGCGTGTTAGGGCCCGCACTGGGATCCATACCTGTGACTCCGCGTCACGGCAGCCTGCACTGAAGTCAGTGTGTGACGGTCACAGTCACCTGGACCGCCTCGGTGCAGGAGCCGTCCTGAGCTTGACTCCCTCCATCAGCCTCCGTCTCCTCGCCTTCCACCACACACCCTTCTCTGCTTGCGCTCTCGGGCCCAGCCCGTTCACAGACAACTAGGAGACAGAACCTTGCAGCTGAACAGTTTTCACTATGCCTAAGGTGTGAGAGGACAGTCTTTAACTGATCGTAACGCTTACCGAGATTTCGTCTACAGAACAAGGGAAAGGTTCGCCAGCATCCCTGTATGTGTGGCTCCGTCACACGATCTAACAGTCTGCGCAATCCAGGGAGGAAAGAACCGGAGACGTGGAAAGAACGAGAACGACGATGACAAGCGCGAACTGGTCTTCCGCGAGGACGGCCAGGAGTACGCACAAGTGATCAAGATGTTGGGCAACGGCCGTCTCGAGGCCCAGTGCTTTGACGGCGAGAAGCGACTTGCACACATCCGTGGAAAGATGAGGAAGAAGGTACGTCTCATCATGCTAGGTTCGTATGCGAGACCCTGACCAATTCCTGCGGCGGACGTACAGGTCTGGATCAACCAGGGCGACATCATTTTGCTCTCCCTCCGCGATTTCCAGGATGACAAGGCAGATGTCATCGTCAAGTACACCGCGGATGAGGCGCGTAGCTGTGCGTCTCTCTTTCTTTCCCCTGCCGCTTTATCGGCGACCATCAATGTGAATCTTATATTCCACTCGCAGTGAAAGCGTACGGCGAGCTTCCCGAAAACGCGAAGATCAACGAGACCGAGACCTTCGGCGAAGAGGATGGCGAGTGCACATTCGAGTTCGGAGAAGACGAAGAGGTCGACATCGACGACATCTGAAGAACTGTATCTGTATTCCTTGTATTCTCCCGATGGGCATCGCTGTGGTGTAGCAATCACGACCTTCATGTCTCTCCCGTCTATCTCTTCGTTCCTATGTTGTTTTCATATACATCGGTAGACAATCATCCCAGAGCCGTGAGCTCTCAGATCTCACTCCGTATCTCGTGTGCTTCACCCAAGAGCATCTACAGGTAACCTTAAACATCGACGGTGGTATCGCCTCAATTAGGACTTATTCAAGGAAGACATCATGCATCAGAAGCGCAGGAAGCCAGTAGCAGGATCGGGTATAACCATCGCTGGAACGACTGTACCCTTCAGCGAACACAGCAAGCAGGATTTACTCAAACCTTACTATAGGACCATATATACTTCTTTTCGACAATCAGACAGCGACTTAGACTTGGTGCAACATCTTACCGTCTTTCCCGACGGATCTATGGCTCCTCTGCTGTGATAGGTCCGCTGCTCGGCGTGCTACCTACTCTGGAGGACCCGGATATATGCATGAAATCTTTTGTGCTTGTACAGCAACCACTACTAGTCGTGAGAAAATGATACCGTTCCAAACATTCCGGATCATATGTAACGTAGGTCGTACAACTGCCCTTCCCCCCGGCCGCCGGCGCGATCGCTCCCTCAACCTCCTACCATTTGCATTGCAGTTGGCACGCCTCAGGCTGCCTCCCCGACTCTGACGCGCTGTGCAGTTGCTACGAGAGCTCCGGCCAACGAGAGAGCGTGAGGCCCTGAGACGCCCTGAACCGTTCAGTCTTGACGGCAAGCGACACAGAACAAATACACGTACCCTCAAACACCCATCTGGGAGAGCGCACGCTTGGCCCTGTTCGTCAGGTTCTCGCGCTTGCGTGTCTTGTTGTTGCTCTCATTGTTGTGAGGCGACCGGCTGACGGCCTTGACCTGCAGCGTGCCCACCGCGGCGTCGCTCAGCTCCTTCTCCGCCACGAGATAGTCCCCGCTCATGATCTGCACGGTGCACTCCTTGCGCGCGATACCGTCGCCGCTGGCCGCGCCCGCGTTCCAGTACTCGCGCCACGCGTCGAGGACGAAGTGCATGTCGCACCGGAAGGTGTACCGGCGCTGGTACAGAGTGATCTTCTTCCTAGAGTGGACGTCTACGAGGAGCCCCTTCGTCTGCGAGGACGTCGTCTCGTCCGCCGAGAAGGTCTTGGTCGCGCCGTCGACGCCGAGCGCGAGGTCCTTGAACCTGGCGCCGAGGTTCAGGCAGGTGGTCACGTCGGCGCCCTGGGTGATCTTCAGCTCGGTCTTGTACTGGTACGTGTACCTCTGGGAATCGTCGCCGTTGTTCTCCCAGGATTCCAGACGAACCCAAGTGGTGTCGACGAGGTAGGTGTCAACCGCGGCGTAGAAGTGCTCGTCGTTGGGAAAGGTGTATATCATGGGGAACTCTGATTTGACCAAGGCGTCGCCGCCCGCAGGCTTGTTCACGGCGGATTGAGAGAAGCCGGTGTTCTGATTACTAGCATCAGTATACCATCGATGTTCGCCGAAGGTGAGCAAATCATCGTTACCACGGTCATGCTGCAATACGAGAGGCAGCGGGCGAAAGAGTATGGATGAGGGCCGTTGCTGCACAGACGGTCGACTGTCGGCGTGAGTGTCAGCGAGCAGGCATGCACGATATATAAGGAAAATACGGCCTGACGTATCACATGAGTGTGCAGATCTGTCTGGACGACCGGCGCAATTTCACCGTTCATTACGTCTGCTCATTAAGTCTTTGCAGCAGCGGTTCTCGACTGCTACCGAATTGTGTAAGTCAGACGACTACAGCGCAGCATGCAGAAGTAGTTCAAGTACCGTCTATATTGCCGTGGAGGGGAGCCCAGGCTACCTTTACCCATTTTGGCGAGGTATGTTATAGGCTTCAATGACATCCGCAAAGAAGGGAAGCTGGCTGTGCCGGAAACAAGGAGGCTCCGGTACTATATGCAGTGACGGAGTCCAGAAGCGAAGGAGGCCATGCTTGCTGTATGAGCGGCCGGCTCCGTTGGCGGAGCTTTCCTTTCCGTCCCAGAGCTAGGGCAGCGGGATTTGTGCACAATGGACCGAATACCACCGGTCAGATGACGAGAGTTTGCGGCGGGAAACGCGTTGAATCTCCGAAGAATGTCTGGGAAGCTTGCAGCGGTACAGGGATGGCATCTGCGACGTCTTCGAAAGTGAGCACATGTTGGGTGCGATGGGATAAGCTCATCACAAAGCGAAATAGTACTCATCGCCACCTACGACCACGTCATGGAGTCGGCGACAAGACGAAGAGAAGAAAAGAGAACGACTGACCATCCTCAGCTCGTTCACTTGAAGGTTTATAAAGTGGACGTGGCCATTGCTTGAACACCAACGGTTTACCGTTGATCTCACATTAAAACAGCGCCCTCAGGCTAGTTCCTTACGTAGTACGAGATTAGGGTCGACGTCGGCCGCCATGCAGTGTTCAACAAACCTTTGGAAAGCACCATGCTCGTCCAAATTGATGGGGTGTATAATGGCTTTGTTATTACGAACTTTAGCCCCGCGTAGGCCAGCGGCGGGATGGCGAAGAGTAGTGAAGAGGGTAGCGAGGGCTAGTGGGTGATGGTAAGCAGTACGCGTTGAGAAACTAGTCGTGAGCTTTCCTCTGCAGTAGGCACGATAGTCGTGAGAAAGTGCCACTATAGCCAGCAAACATCTCAAATCAAGTCTCAGAGTAGTAAGAATCACACACGGATTATACATCCATTATCGAGTCGCACGACCATGCCAGACACTGACGATTGAGCTGATATATAGCCAAAGAGAAGGCCCGGCATACAGTTCTAGACCAGCTATCTAAGGCGTCGTCGTTAGAATAATGTCACAAGAATAAATATGCTACTCATCACGACCCGCAACCTATAATCCTGGCTCCAGCTCCCCGATTCCCGAGTCCTCCGCCCAAGTCGATCCGCGATCGCGTGCGCTCGTTCTTCGGGAGTCTAGTTACCCCCGGTCGCAGACCCTCCGTTGGCAGAGCCGCTACCGACGACCGTCCCGCCATTCCCGCCGTTCGCAGAACCGCCATGGCCCCCTTTCCCTGCAGTAGCAGACCCTCCGTTCGCAGAACCACTGCCGATGACGGTGCCGGGCTTGCCGGGAGTCGCTGTGCCGTCGTGGCCGCTGGAAGACCCTCCACGGCCGCCTTTGCCTGCGGTAGCACTCCCGCCGTTCGCAGAGCCGCCGCCAATGACGACACCAGGTTTTCCAGGCTTCGCCGTACCGTTCTGACCGTCCTGGCCGTCGTCGCTGCTGGAGGCGCCGTTTCCGAAGGGCTGTCCATCGACAGAGTCGATGTGTCCGTTCTCGATGACCACGGTATGACCACCGATCTGGAAAGTCCCGTTCGTGCCCTGCGGAATGTCGACGCCCGCGACGTTGTCATCGCCATCCGCATCCCCGCCGCCTACTGACACACCACCGTTCTGACCGACCGAGTTCTGGCCGTCCTAGCCGTTCCCGCCATTCCCGCCGACAGCGTTTCCCCCATTAGCACTCCCGCGCTTCTTGGGCAGGCGGTGAGGGGGGCCGTTGGGGGGTCCGCGGGTGGGCGGGAGAATCAACGAGCTGTGGCCGTCGGGGCCGTCGATGGAGACGACCTTGCCGTTCTCGAGAGTGACTGTCTCGCCAGAGTTGCCGACGGGGAAGGTGCCGGAGGTGTTTGGCGGGAAAGAGACACCGTTGATCACGATGCCGCCGTCCTGGCCGTTCGCGTTCTGGCCGCTCGCGCCGTCTCCCCCGACAGGGAGCAGCCCGGCAGCCGTCGCACGACGGCCAAGATGCGGCTCGCCTGGAGGCTGCATGAACATCACCACAGGTTAGCCTGGAGAGCCAAGACGACAAACGGCTCTAATCGAGCGGCTTACCAGTGGAGGAAACTGGCCACGGACTTCAATATCGCGGGAGGTAGCGGTGGGACGAGACTGAACGGAGGGAAAGGGAGCAAGGGCGGTGAGGGCGATAGTAAGCAGGCCGGCTGCGAGCATGGCTGTTGAGTGGTTTGGAGCGAGAGATTGTATAAATGGATGAGTAGCTTGGGGCTCAACGAAGTCCCCCAGAGGCGATACTTATACGTTTCCGCCCTTGTTTGTCCCCTGCCTGCTCTGCAATTCCGCGGAGCTCCGACTTCGCGTGAACTGCGACGTGAAAGGTCGTGTGCGCTATCCAGCTTCCCGCGAGGTGTGTCAGCTTGTGGTCGGCAGCCGCCCCATGCCCCGTAGTTCGAGAGTCTATGTGCGATCCTGTGCGATCTCACGCCGTCCAACAGAGTTCAAGACTGTGTCGGAGCGGGAAGAAAGGTTGTCGCGTGCTTCTTCTTTCCAACGTAGCCGACATGATACTGTCAGCGCGCCAGGTCGATAGCCAACATTGTTGGTCGAGGGGTGTTGGTGAGAGGACACGGCACGGCCTCTAAAAACAATTTGAACGGCAATGCCGATATGTGAAAGTTCCTCAAAGCTGTGTCGTCATGTTGGGCCTTATTGCCAATTGCTTGACGTTTTCGCTGTCAGTCAGATGTTATCAGAAAGGCCTCTGTGTTAAACATACCGGCGAATCATGGGGTGCATGGCAAAACGCGACAATCATTGAAAACCGAGCAATTTGAGACCGCAAAGAGCGTTGAATGAAGGCGTAATCCCAACCAGGGTGGCAGTCGGCCGGAGGATTTCTTCAACACTAGTTCAGCCCGAGTTTCTGCAGTGTTCAGCGTTCAATCTGCGGGTCGCAGCTGGCCATTTGATGACACCTCTCATGTCCAGGGACCTTGTGAACCTGTACACACGCGCATGACCAATTTCCTGCAGGGCCTTGAGACAATCAATAGAGAATAACAATAGGACAAGCTTCTGAACGATGCGCCCACATCGACGCCGACAGGCTTCAATCCTTCTCCCAGCATTCATCGACCCATCATCAGCACCGTCTGCATGTCCGGAACAACACCCTTCTCCTTCATGAGATACTCTGCAATGTCTCGGGCGTCGCACTTGATCGCGGTTTTGAGCATGTCCGGGGTGGCCGATAGTCTGTCGCCGAGTTTCCGCCGCTTGTTGCCTGCCTCCATCCTCATCTTCTTTGACCGCCTGCCGCTGTCCTTTCCGCCGCCATCTTCGTCCTTGGCGGACCGTCGTCGCTTCCTCGACTCGCCCCTCGGCTCGCCCGCCAGAATCCCGAACGTCGGCCCCGGCGCCGATCCGTCTCGTTCTATGAGCATGCGCACGAGCGGCAAGCTCTTGCGCCGGATCGCGACTGTCACCGCCAGGTCTCCTTTGCATGCGGGTACCGCGTCGTGGGCAAGGAGGAAGCGCACCAGAGGTGTGAAACCGGCGTACACGGCACGCGTGAGAGCGTACCCCTCGTACGAGTTCGTTGCTGGGAGGGGAATGCGCGGGTCGGTGTATAGGAATTCCAGGAACGGGAGTGGCTCGTCGAACTCCGTCCACTGACGTTGGCCGGGCGCATCTCGGGGGGCCAGGTTACGGAAGATATGTCGGGGTAGAACAGTGTGCCCCCTGTCTTCGTCTTTGGATGGGGGTATATGGGGGCACTCGGGGCTGCGGAAGACCGCCTCGAGGACTTCGCGAGTGCATATGGGGTAACGGAGGATCTTTGAGACGAGGCCGACGGCACGGGCACTTGCTGAGTTCTTCGCAGATTCGTGATAGGATCGTATGAGGTATTGGGCGTGCAGGGTGAGCGGCGCGGACTTGAAGACCGCGTGGAGGTGTCGGCAGGTCAGGGGGAGAGCAGGCGAAAGCGCAAGTGTGTAGATGTCGTAGAGAAGCTGCAGGTTGGTCGCCTCAGATATGCCGGTGTCTTCGAACGGCAGAGACACGCACCTCGACTGGGAGGTAGACCAGGCCGAGTGCCTGTCCGTCACCCATCCTCACCGTCCGAGCTCAAAATGGGGGATCTCAGACAGGCGCCCACGATCTGCCTTATTTCGGTCATGTGACCAGGGTCGAATATATTCGCGCCATGGGCGCTACTGCGCTTTGCGCGCGCGGTCATCGCCGCCACCACCGAGTCTCACCGTCGTCCTCCGCACTGCTTCTCGTTGTCTCCTCGAGCATTTTCTGGTGTTTGCCGACGAGCCAAAACACTCTCAACGTAGCAGCCATGTCTGCGAATATCATGGACGAGGAGGAGTCTCAGGCACTGCTCCCATCGACCTCGGAGAACCTTGCCTCCATCAAGGTGTTCCCTTTGATTCCGAGCTTGAAGCGGGACGTAGTCGTAAGTCTTCCAGCTATGTTTCCGGCATTACAAGCTCCTGACGCTACTTTGTGTGCGTAGAAGAACATTGGTGCGTCTCAGGTCTCGCGAACAGACATGGAAGCACTCATTTAGTCTGACCAGATACCGCCTTGACCTGGGAGTACGTGTGGAATGCCATCTTTGCGAGAGTTGATACTGAATTCGCTGCTTAGCCAACTGACAGCGTCCGACATAAACTTCGCCATCATTCGACCTCTGGTCTTCAAGTATGCACATCTTGACAACCTGGCGGTCGTCTATGCTTGCTTCGTCGTTCGCTCTCACTTCGTGTCTGAGGCTGAAGAAAACATGGCTTATTCTGGGGTCCTCCTTTCTCGTGCTAGTGTCTGCGAGATCCTTGCAATGAAGCTCCTGGGTACCTTTGCGTCCAGCCAACTTCAGGTCGCGACCGTCTTGACGGCCAGCTGGAACCCCCTCGCCGGAGCTCCTGCAGAAATAGTGTCTGACGTCAAGAACATGATCGGCGACGATGGGATGTATGACCCCCAGTGCGCGCTCGAAGTCCGTTATCCAATCATCATTCGTTTAGCACATACTCAACAGGTCTACACGACGTCTAATAGATGGCCATTGCTACAGAATCAAAGGCGTTTCTCGCATCTCCGCTTGTGCAGACCGTGGTGAACGACATCTATGCTGGGCGCATGGTCTTCTCCATGATGTCAAATCGCTCTGTTCTGGCGGACAACTATAAGCCGAAGAGCATTGAGATATACGACGTTCGAAAGGCGCCCTTCCTGGACCACTACAGGTTACGTGTGCCCAAGTATGGGGCCATCTTGGAGTTCCTAAACTTCGCCCTGTTGTTAACAACATTCCTGCTCTGTCTATCAAGTCTGTGACGTCAAGTACTTTCATAGTCGCCGCGTACTAAACTTTGTGCACAGATAAGGACATGAACGCCATGAACGTTTTCGAGGTCGTCTTCATCGTGATTGCGTCGGCGTTCGCTCTTGAAGAGTACACGGCTTCGAAGGAGCACGGCTGGACGAGTGAGTTTACCGTCTCAAGCTGCCTCTGCAAACGTCTAATCCTGAAAATCCATCCAAGTCTATATAGCGAATGTGAGCAGTTATGATGTTATCCCAGAGTCCTGCTGATGGATTACAGCTCTGGAATGTATTTGACTCCTCATTCATCGTCATCTTCTTGGTCTACCTAGGGTACAGGATCAGGGGTCTGACCCATAACGATCGTGAGTGCACGTCCGTGTACAGCTTGCATCGAGTCGTGGCTGATGGAGGGATAGCGGCCGCATCTGACTTCGCCTTTGACGTTCTGGCTTGTGGGGCGTGTATACTGTTCCCTCGGTGTGTCCAACTACGCTCGCGTCTTAGGTCAAAGCTGATGTTATGCAGGCTCGCTTTCTTCGCAGTCTCGAATAACGTCATCGTCTTGTAAGTAATCGACCTGATTCGACCTGACATCTACTGACTGGCATATGGCGTATAGGGCTTTGCGCGCCATGATGGCCGACTTCCTTTTCTTCATCACCATAGCGGCGATCTGCTTCTCCGGCCTTCTGTTCACGCTGCATAACCTCGGTACGTCCCATAGCATATTGATCTTCACGGCCACTAAAGTCTGTACCTGCTACTCTTCAGCCGAAGACACCGGCAGGTGGTCTGTCAAGAGCATCGCATGGCTCATGGTGCAGATATGGTTCGGAAACACGTACCTCAGCTTTGCGCAAGCCGAGAGTTTCCACCCTCTCTTCGGGCCCGTGCTGATGACGATGTTCGCTGCGTTGTCGAACACGTTGCTGCTTACTAGTAAGGTGCTAAGATTCGCGCGGGAGGCAGCTGACTGACATAACGGTATGACAGTCCTGATCTCGATCCTGTCGAACACTTTTGCAAGAATCGATGCGGTGAGTCTTCCCTCCGTAAGCCGGTGTATGACGCTAATCCCTTAGCTTTATTGTAGAATGCTAAGCAAGAGGTAAACAACTTGGGTACTCGTCGATGATCTAACTCTCACCCACGCTCAACAGTATTTGTTCCAATATGCGATCACCACGATCGAAGGGTAAGTGTTGAGGTTATATCTCCGAAGGTTGAAGTCGGGGCTCATTGTACGCAGTGTAAAGGATAGCTTGTTCAGCTACCAACCTCCTTTCAACCTGTTCGCTTTCATGGTGCTATGGCCCCTCAGCTATATCGTATCTCCTCGGACTCTACATTCAGCGAACGTCTTCCTCATCAAGCTGACAGTTAGTCGTCATTTTTTACATCCGTTCTTGCCAAAATACGTGCTGACTTTCGAACTAGTCATTCCCACAACTGATTGTAATCGCCATCTACGAACGCTACCTCGCCCAAGGACAGAAATGGCGCGAAGAGGGTGCCGAGCGGGCACATACCCTCTACGCGAGCCTCTCGCGTAGCGTAAAGCACATGCCAATCCTCGACTTCCTCGGGTCAAGCTCCATGGACGTACACGAGGCAATCTTCGACGTCAACCTACACGACGAAGGCGCCCTCTTCGAAGACTCCGACCTCGAGGACCTCCCCGCCCCGCTGGAGCCCTCATCCGCGCCCCCCGTCATCCGCACATCTCAGTCGCACGAACACCGAGCCGAGCCGAGCACAAGCTCCAGTACAGGCCTCCAGCCGCCCTTCCGCCTCTCAGGCTCGCGCACGCCCACGGCGGACTCGCAGATCCGGCGCACGACGAGCCTCTCGCTCTCTCCCCGCAAGAGCACGAGCCTCAGCCGCACCCGCACCCGCAGCGCGGTCTCGCCCATCTCCCCGACGTCCTCGCCGCGCCTTTCGCCGCGTCCGCGCAACGCGCCGCTGCCGACGATCATCCCGTCGACGTCGAGCGAGATCCCGACGCTCGGGCCGCGGAGCCCGCTTGGGAAGCTGTTTGGGCCGAGGCGCGATGGCGCGTTCGCGACGGCGTCGATGGAGGCGGGCATGAAGCGTGTGGAGACGTTGGTGGAGGAGGTGAAGATGCTGCCCGTGAATAAGCTGAAGGACGAGATGAAGGAGTTGCAGGTGCGTCGCGTCGTGCTGGTTGCGCATGCTGCGATTTGCTGATATGGTGCTTGCAGGACCGTCAAGCGCGGATCGAGAATCTGCTGTTGATGCTGACGCGCGGGATGAGGAACGATACTGGTCCCCATTCGACGATACGTCATGACTCCTTGTAATGGCTATGAGGCTGGCGTATTCCGCTTTGACGCAGTGCTCCGTTATTGAACAGCACTCCCGTTCTGATGTTAGAGGGCGCTGATTTCGAGGAGGTAGTAATGGACTCGCGGGCGCGTCACGACTCACGACGCGTCCACGCGACCATGAGTGTATACTTGAAGTCTCATTCATGGCGGATGAAGCAAATATTCAGCCATGCACACCTTCCTGTCCACCGAAAGGATCAGCGGTGCATTGCAAGCCCGTGGTTGCACAGAACTTGGCAAGTAGACCTTGTCACTCGAGGGCATAACAACGAGAGATAATCGAGGCTGAGCGTATTTCCCCGCCGGGACTGATAGTACATTGTAATACAGGTACCTGCGATCTTCGGTACATGCCTCACTGACGATCCCAGCTCCGCACGAACTTGAGCACCCTCCTCCTCGCGTCGACGATCGCCGTCTCCTGGATCTTCTGCATCCACGGCGTCGACACCGCCTCCTTGAACTCCTTGGTCTCCATCGCCTCCAGCCCCTCCCACTCGTGTATCGTCAGATGCTTCGGCGGCGTCCCCGCCGTCGCCTCCGGCCCCGCCGCCGCCGCGTCCTCCAGCACGAACCGCCGGCTGCGCACCCACCCGGGCACCTTCGCCAGCAGCGGGATGTGCTCCTCCTCGTACCACTTGTTGAACTCGTCCTCCGTCTCCGGCTTCACCTCGACCTCCACCACGACCGCATACGGCCCCGGGGCGCGCGCGTCGTACGCGGCCCCGGCCTTCGGCGGGAACACGGGCTCGCGGAGCGTGTACGTGCGGCGGTCGAGGAGCGCGACGCGCGCGAAGATGTCCGTCTCGCGCGCGGAGCGCGTGCCCGCGAGGTCCGCGTAGGGCGGCTCGGAGATGACCGCGGGCGACGCGAGGTCGTAGAGCGCGGCGTAGGTGGGGCGCGCGCCGTCCGCGGCGGCCCAGCGCGACCAAGAGTGGATGCCGGGGATCGGGAGGCGGAGCGGGACGTGCTCGTTGTCGTACCAGTCGTTGAACTCCGCGTCGGGGACCGCGGCCCCGGGTTCGGAGTACACGAGGAGCAAGCCGGGCATGGTGGTGGTGGTGGTGTGGTGGTGAGTCTCGGGCTTGTGGTTAAGAGTTGAGGTGTGGCGGCGATGGCTGCCGGGCGGAGGCCCGTTTTATATAGGTGCACATCGCACTGACGTCCGTAAGTGCGCTTTGTGGCTCGCGCCGGACTCGGGGCGCAAAATGTCTTGGCCGTGGCATATCTTTGTCATGCCATGGTTGCTCATCCTAGACACATATAATGCCGGTATGGTCGAGGTTTTCGTTCAGTGCCGATCGGAATACCTTGACCCTATTTCCGAACTCGGGCATTGAAACCGAGCCGCTATACGCAAACCCGTCTACCTTGAACTACATTACTGAGGTTTCGAAAGTGCTGATGGTCAACACCTCGGTGGTAGTTAGAGACTGAGTGTTCAGAGGGACTAAAGCACCATGCATCTCGAAGAAAATGGACGGAAACATGAATAATATTCGGCGCGTACATGAACAAGATGGAATATATAAGTGATCAATATCGCAGGCATAAGCTGGGATGAAGTAGGATGTTAACGACAAGGCCTAGGAACCTATCGTGTCAATGGTAGAAGTGTGCGTATAGTGTGTGTAGTATGTGTAGCGCGTGTGTTCGAAGTAGGATGCATGTAATGTAGATATGGTGGAGGTATAGTAAAAAGGTGTCTCGTCAGAAGAGTTAGAACTGGCCAGGTTCCAACTCGCCCTCAGAGCGAACGAGTTCAGGACAAGAGGAGAAGCCGACGTGGCCACCGCCGAATTCCCCTCCCATTCTGAACTCACTCTGCCACCTCGAAAACCTCAAGAACCGCGAATCTGTTGTGAGACGATACGCTACGTGTGGTCCGTACAGGAAGAGGGTTGAATGCAGAACCGGAGTGTTTCGCCCCGGGCGAAAATGCCGCGATAGACGAGCGTCTGGAGGACGCGGCGGAGGTGGGCGCGGTGGACGCAGCCGATGCGCTCGAGAAGAGGGTGTCCGAGGTACGCGAGGTCGGGATGGACGAGGACCGAGTGTGCGAGCGTGTGAGGATGCTCGCGGAGGGTGGTGCTTGCCTCGGCGGTCGTCGATGTCGATGGTTTGTCCACGTGTCCCAAACACCGTCATCGTCCTCCTCGTATGCTGGAGTGGGCTCGGCGGGCACGGTAACACAGTCGATGGCCTCGGATTTGGGCGGAACAGACGTCGGCGTGGAGGTCGCCTTCGAAGATGCGGGAGCGGCGTTCTTCGAATCCTCGCGGTTGACTACGCAGGAGGGGGCGTCCAGGGTGTTGTGTTCGGAAGTCTGCGTCGAGGCGGCGTGCAAATCGACCGGCGGAGAGGACTCGAGAGGCATGCTGGTAAGGGCTGCCAGGAGCCCCGCTTGAAATTCCGCATCCGACGCTGACATGAGGCCGTTGTAGGTGACTCCCGAGAGGTCGATGACCAAATGGTGCATCTTCCCGGGGTCACCGGCCTGCATGTTGGTGTCGTCGTTGCCAAGTGCTAGTGTTGAAGTCCGCAGATGCCAGATGATGCCATAGAAGAAAGTCGTGATGATGAAGACAGCAGTGAGGAAAGCGAGAGAGTGTGCCAGAGAGTTACTAGACACGCCCGTCGGTAGAGTGTGGAAGACCGGAGACGGAGGCTGGCGGAGGACGGGTGTACCAGAGAAGCTATCGATGACTCGGATGGTTGTTGTGCTGTCGTCCAAGGTAGCATAGGAGTTGAATGTACTGCCCAGGGTAAGGACGCGAGCGTAGTAGATAGGTGCAGCGCGCAGGGCACCGAAGATGGAGACAAAGAGGGAGATGAGGGCGGTGAACATGGTGGTGGTCGTGATGTTCGGGGCAGTGGGATTTGGTGGGGAACAGAGGACAAGCGACGGAGGTTATATATGCCCTGCGCGTCCCCAGACGCGATCGGACTGAACCTTAGTTTGTTTAAACGCAGCTCACGTGGGGCGCGACCGCGTCGCCCGTCACCGTATGTTCGACTTCACGCCGAGTGA